CGCCTCCCAGCTGGCACCGGAGAGGCCTGAGTTGCCGGAATTAAGGCCAAAAAAAAGGTCAAAAGAGCCCGTTTGGGGGCCAGCGCCGTGCTGGAAAGGGACCTTGGCAGAGGGACCGGCTCCGCAGCTCCGGTCCCCGGCGGCCCCCGAGGCACGGGGCACGTCTGCAGCCAGGGTGCAGAGGCAGGATCTGGCGTTTTCCCAACCCAAATGAGATAGGTTGGGCAGGGGAGACGGGGACATCGGCTCTGGTGCCGGCTCTGGTTCCCCTTTCCAAAAGGGATTCAAACCTTCACGTTGTTCCCACTTCAAAAGTCATCTTGCTCTGCATGCTTTCAAAAAAATTGCATCCCCCCAGATGCAGCAACTGCACAACACTGAGATGTTCATACGAATGGATGCCGCTTGCTTGTTTACACCCTGAACGGGCAAAGGGAACCATGCTGAGAGGTAAAACCACAGCAGTCCACTTTTTTATGCCTTTGAGATCCTGATCCAAAGTGAGAAAGAGCATCTTTAATTTTCCTACAGGAGGGGGGGAAAAAAACCTACCTGTGTTCCTACATGCTCCTCAGAAGGGAAATATTTGTCCCCTTTGCCAGGTACGTGGTGCCAAGCCCGGCAGGACCCAGGGTGCCCACATGACCCAGTGCTGCAGCTCCTGGGGGCTCAAATGCCACCTTAGCAAGCGAGATACCCTCCTGGGCTTAGTCACAACTGGGAAGACCACTCCCAGCTGGAAGACCACAACCAGGAGCCCCAGCCATGAACCAAGATGCCCCGGCTCTGTGCTGAGCAGCTGAGGAGGTGCGAGGCAGCTCCCGCTCCTTTCCTCTGGGATGTGGCTGGGTTGAGGGCTTTGGGATCAGGCCTGATGTTAATAACCGGCCTCAACACGCGGCGTTGCAAGAGCCATTGTGTTTCTGCCAGCACCAGTTGCTACATCAGCTCGGATATTTAATAGCCAAATGAATGAGTGAACGGAAGTGTGAACGCTTCCGTGCCAGCCATCAAGGCTGCACATTCTGTGCACAATGTGCTAATCCCCCCCCTCCGCTGTAACTGCACCCCCGGGCTCCGGGTGTTTTGGCGCACAAGACTGAAAGGCTTCTGCTGTTTGTGCTGGGCAGCAGAGCCGGCCGGAACCCCCGGGGCAGCTGATGCTGACCTGAACCATCCCTGCTTAGGAGACGGAGGGGTAAGTGAGGACGTGTCAGGTGCTGTCTTTGGGGAATTGGTGGTCATAGAATTGTTTAGGTTGGAAAAGACCTTTAAACTCATCAAGCCCAACCGTTACCCTAACCTTGCCATTCCACCACTAAACCCTGGCCCTAAGCACCTCGTCTGCCCGGCTTTTAAATACCCCCAGGGATGGGGACTCAACCCCTTCACTGGGCAGCCCCTTCCAGTGCTTGACAGCCCTTGTGGGGAAGAATTTTTTTCCCAATGTCCAACCTAAACCTGCCCTGGCACAACTTGAGGCCATTTCCCCTTGTCCCATTGCCTGTTCCCTGGGAGCAAAGACCGACCCCTGCCTTGCTGCAACCTCTTTTCAGGTAGCTGTAGAGAGTGATAAGGTCTTTCCTCTGCCTCCAGCCCCTCCATGTCCTTCTGGGAGTGAGGGGCCCAACCCTGAACCCAGCATTCGAGGGGCGGCCTCCCCAGAGCCCAGCACAGGGGCACAGTCACTGCCCTGCTCCTGCTGGCCACACCAGTCCTAATACAAGCCAGGATGCTGTTGGCCCTCTTGACCACCTGGGCACGGGGCCCTGAGCTCAGTTCCTGGCCCCAGCACCAACTCTGGTGTGGTCTTACCCCTCCGGCACAGGTACATCTGCCATGCAGACAGCCCAGGGAGCTCAGTGCCTCTCTCAGCAGCATGCATTAGCCCACAAATCTGCTACACGGCATCACGGGGATCTTCCTTGGGATGGCCGTGCAAGCAGACTGGCGGAGTGCAGCCCGGCTCTAACCTGCAAAAATGCCAAAAAGCAGAAGCAACTGAGTTATTCTGACTTTTATTTCATTGCTTCTTAGTCCACACAGTCGGTATAAAATCAGAAAAGCAAAGCAAAAAAAAAAAAAAAACCAACAAAAAAAACCCCAAAATGAAACAAAAACAACAACAGCAACACAGTGTCTGGAGTCCTCAGAAGGCAGCCTGGGGTCTGCACAGGTGCCCGTTCAATTCATGGCCAGACACATCGCTGACGCACAGACAGAGGACAGACATCTCACTCCAGTGGCAAAGCCCGGCAGGGCTCCACCCAGAGCTGTTTCTGTTCTTTTTGGGGGGGGGGGGGGGGAAGAAAGGAACCTCAGTTATAAATGCTTTATTAAAAATAATAGTAAGAGCAAGTCTAAGTACAAAAGCAGTTATAGCTCATTTATATTACACAGAATTATTTCTCACTTCTAGCTTCGTTGTTTACCTCAAGGTTGTTAACTGAATTTCCAGTGAATAAGGTTAAATGGCTAGCAATATAAGGAATGGTAAATAGATAGCACCATTTCATATATCTGGTATTTGATTTCATAGATACACTGGGTTGGCTTCTTTCTCATCGGTAGTTTAGCTCCATGGCAAGGATAAAGCACATTTCACGGTTGGGAGCATTGAAGCCCCGGCGGCTGGGCACGGCACGGCACGGCACACGTTCCCACCCCACCAGCACCAGGGGCACCCCCCGAGCCCATGTGGGCAAAGGCGGCCAGCCCATGCTGGACTGCAATTCAACCTAAGTGATTTAAAAGCCCAAATTCCCAGCGGGTGTGGTGGCAAGGCAATGGGACTTAGGCACATAAGTCATTTAGGCACTTGGGGCAATCAAAAGCCTTTGCTCCAAAATCCTTCAAACCTTTCGGAAGCGTCTCCCGTCAGATCTGGACGTGCACTTCAGGTACCAGGATCACAGCATGTGGCAGGAGTGGGGACCAACCCTCCGGCTGGCGGAAACAGGCGTAACTCTGATTGACGCCAGCCTAAAACCAGTCAGAGCCGGGGTTTTCTGACGGTTCAATACGGGCCGGGATGGGGAAGGATAGTTCAGGTCAAAGGATTTTGCATGAGAGGAAAATCACCGCGCTCTTGTTACACTGTTAGGAGTAATAGTTCCTTAGGCACTTGCTTTAGGCTTTAAAACATAGCGTATGGTCAACAAAAGCAAACAATACTATGTACATATATGTAAAAAGTGTTATAAATAGGTTTTTTAAACCATAGATACTATATACATCTTCAATTAACAAGTAACCCTTTGAGTGTTTCCTTTTGGGGTCGGTTGGGTTTGGTTTTGGTTTTGGTGGGAGGGTTTATTCCTTTTTTTTTTTCTTTTTTTTTTTTTTTTTTTTGGTTAATTTTCTTTTCCGTTTTCTCGTCTATTTTCCCCCGCCTCCATCTCCTCCGTGGACGTCATGAGTGCCCTTGTCACGTCATGCTGCCTCCCACGGCATCACTCCCGCTTCCGTAGGATGACATAGACGATGCCGCTGGCGGGGGCCAGGGGGAAGGCCAGCCATGCCAGGATATAGGCGAAGCCGTAGGAGGTGTTTTCCGAGGCTTGGTGCCAGTCCGTGTGCCTCACTGTGAAGATGGCCGCGCCGCTCATCACGCAGAGCCCTGCCGGGGAAGCGCACGTAGGAAGGGGTTAGCAATGCCATGCACGGAGCAGTTCCCTGCTAGAAACCTGCAGCCGGAGAGGATAATATCCAACACCAGCACGGGAAACTGTTTTTATTACTGTCCCCTTGTATCCTGTCTCCTGGAAAACTATGGGGGGCGTGATACTGTGGGCTCTGCCCTGGCTGCAGGTGAGCAGGGATATTGCTGCTGGGCTCTGAGCAAGCAGAGCCAGAGCATCGCCTGGGCTAACCCGCCCCTCCAGGCAAGCATAGGGCATCCCCCAGCTCCAGGCTGCTCCAGACCAGCCCCACTCCCTTAGGCAGCTCATTTAGAATCCAGGCTGTAGCCATCCTACCAGAGGTGCTGAAGGAGCTCAGACACAAACTCTGTTTTTTTTAAAGCACAAAAGTTTCTTTACCACCTGCCCAGGTAAGCCCAGCTGGGGGTCAAGGAAGCTCTGGACAGGCAGGGTCTGTACCCTACGATCCCCCGTCCTCCTCTGCAAGGAACTCAACTGCAAACCCTGCTGCGTCCTTAGTTCATCCCTCTTCCCCGGCTCCGGGCGTCCGCCCTCACCAGCCACGGGCCAGCGTGAGTCCCCAAGGGCTGTCCGGCCGGGCCCAGCTCCGGTAGGCAGCATTTTAGCTTTGTTGCAAAGCAGCCCATCAGTGTTGGGGACTGCCCAGAGCTAACACAAAGCCACCTCTATTTCTACCCAAAAACAAGCTCTTTCAGTCAATCCCAGCAGTTCTATTATACAGTCGCAGGGCTGTTGTTGGAGCCGAGTTCCAAATCCCCTGCACGGACCTCGGGACCACCTACATTTAACTACCGTGATATTTGAGCTGTAATTCCACTTGACACTGCTCCTTTGTTCGGGGAAAGTGCAGAAGTGGGAATAAGTTTCATTAACGCGCCGCTGGTGCAGTTTCCATTCTCTAAGCACGAGAGCCAACTCCCACTGCCCCGGCCCATGCAAAGAGAGCACAACAATTGTCTGCGGACACTGGTGGGACAGAGAACAGGCGTGCGGCCACGCCGGTCACCTACAGACAGCAGGAAAATACAGCGGCAATTGTCTGCATGAGGAATTTGGCAAAATGGAGGCGATGGTTTCTGCAGCATCTGCACTGATTTGGGCCTGGAGAACACGCTCAGAAGTGAAGGACAGTGGCGTTTAGCTGCTTGCACTGATGCAAGCAATAATGCATCACCACTTTGGAGCCTGGTTTTAAGAATGCGCTTTAGTCTTGCTTTGACAGGCCAGGAGGGCAAATGCTACCTAAAATCTGTTCCTGCAGGTCTCTGCATTCTGCCCCAGGCCTGCAGACAAGCCGGGATGGGTGCTGGTGCATGCTCATAGTCAGCTCTTCAACACAGGTCTTTGCAAAAAGCTGCAGGACATGTGGAAGGCACAGCCCTTGAAGCTGAGCTGACCCTCTCCAACCCATGGGGACAGCAGCTCTAGGGTGGGAGGGATGAGAGAAAAGGGATAAAAGTGATGCTGAGGCTGGAGAGAGTGATGCAAAAGTTGGGTCAAACCCTGAGAGGCCCAAACCAACGTCTCTCCCATGCTGGGCTTACTCAGCTATGAGAGGTTACCCGTACGGTGGGGAGCTGTCGAGGCCCTTTTGATGCCTTTGTGATGGCTGAAATCCCCAAATTCATCAAATTCAGGTAGACTTTGGGGCATGTTTCCAAGCATTATGGAGAATGTGCTGGGGATGCATCCTCCCCTGCCGCTGCACAACAGACCCAACTGACCTCATGTGTCTCTTCTTGCCCTTACCTCCATGCCCCAGTTCCCCTGAGATACAGCCGAAGTTGTAGCGGAGACCAAGCCCTTGCCCTCCTCCCCAACTCTCAGGGCACCACTGCCACCCGACAGCACCCACTGGTCCTGCCCCTGATACCTGCTGGGTCAGGTCCAGCATTGCTGTTGGTCCGGCTCCAACACTGAGACCCTCAGCTTTGCCAAGCTGCACCACTCCAGAAAGAGGTGCAGGTGATGGAGGGCTCTGGGAAGAGCCTTCCCATCCCTCCCAAAAGGAGGGAGGTGCTCCCCAGCTCTGCTGGAGCTGAGAACAAAGCACTCAGGCAGGTAAGACCCTGTCCCTGGCAGACCTGCAGCGGGGCTTTGTGGTGCAAGGCATGGGTGAACACCTGCAAAGCCACAGAAATTTCCTCCCTTGGCTTTAGACAATGGTAGCCTTACACAGCAAGCTGCAAGGAGACCACATCAGGTTCAGCCCCTTTGACCAGAGCCATCTGTACCTCCAGGTGGGATCTCCTGGCAGCGCTGACACAGCCATGTCCTGTTCCTTACCAACAACCCTGAAATTTAGGGTCACAAAGGCCACAGCTGCCCTGAGCCCCCTCCTCCAGCTGGGGAGAACAGCAAGGTTGGCCACCAGTGCCCACCTCCGTATGGCCCATCCGGACTCAGACGTCTGCCTGCGGGTCCCCCAGGACACGGGGAAGCTTCATGGGGATCAGGTCACACTTCTCCTGTCCTTCATGGTGGCTCGGGATGGCTTTGACCCTCGCCTCAGGCCCAACAAGGAAGGAGACAGTAGGTCTATGGCCTGACCCTGCATCCCCCCAGGACACCCAGCGCAGCCTGGACAGGAGGGCTGCCATCCCATTTTCTCTTCTTCTGAGAATGAGGATTCGCCAGCAATCACTCAGGAGAGAGAAGCCTTCTGCTCCCAGATCTATTAGCCAAGCTCTCAGGCAGATAATTGCATTATTAATGCCCATTTCCCCTCCTTGTCTCCATGGCTGTAATGGGTTTCTACACATTTATCTTTCCAGAGGTGGTGAACTGATCAGAACCCATCACCCCGCATTATGGCCAAGCAGATATGCTTATAACAGTTTTCATGCCACACTTGCTAATAAAGCTTAGCTCTGAAGTTTTCCAGGGTTTGTGAAAGCCCAGTCGCTTAGAGGATGCTCAGAAACTTTCCATAAATTCAGTGGATGAGTTTTTCCACTGATTTAGTGGCGGGACCTGGAGTGGCTTTTAGTTTAACATCTAGAGCTCTAGCAAATGATTGCTCTCTTTCCCAGACAGTCTGTCATCATTTAGCCAGAACCTCGTTGCACAGTTTAATTTTTCTAGTGTGAATGCTTGAAAATCCTCTCCGCTGGTTTTATACGTGGGAAGGTAAACGGAGCCTGTGCCTTTACAGCATCTATATTTGGAGAGCTGCAATGTAGGACAGGAACCGTGGCTCATTTCCAGTGCTGAGTTCTTTAAGAGTTAAAAATAGTAGCTGACAGTTCAAAGTCAGCTGGCTCACCCTGCACGCTCCAGCGGCTCTTTGCTGATGTGGAAAGCACCAGGCCCCCTTATGGCAAGTTTATAAATAATCGTGATCCTCTTTCGACAAAAGGGGATCGTCACTACTTCCCCCGCCCCGCCAGCAGTTGCGGAAACCTCGCCCAGGCGGGCAAAGGTGGGTCCCAGAGCCACCCAGGACCGTCAGCACCCATCCTAAGCTGTAAAAAAGTTGCCCAGCCAGGCGAAGGTGGGTCCCAGAGCCACCCAGGACCGTCAGCAGCTGCCCTGAGCCGTGGGAAGGAGAGGCAGAGCTGCAGGGCCACTTGCCCCCGGTCCGGCAGCCTCTACGCCCTGCCTGCCCCACCATCAGGGCCACCGGCACAGCTCTGCCTCCAGCACCCTGACCCTCTGAAACCTCCCTGGCCGGGGCAGCAACCCTCTCACGCCTCCCATGGTGCAAGGGCAGAAGAGCTTGGGTGCGTAACGTCCCCTGACAGGCAGACCCCATCCCAGGGCATGTGAGACCTCAACAGACCCAAATTATTCATCCCCCTTTCCCTTCACTGAGCCATGCAGGAGCCGGTTCGGTGGCCCTCCTGCTTCAGTAGCCAAGAGCACGCTCGTTGCCACCATTACCCTCTCCTCTGCTTGAAAGCCCTTTCCCCACCAGCGGCAGCCCCATCCATCAGCCCCCACTTACCAGCAAGGATTTGGAAGATTCCAGTGACGTAGAACCGCCCGCCCTTGGTGAGCGTGAACAGCTGGCAGAAGAACAGGAACAGGGACAAGACGCTGAAGATGATGGAGAGGATCATCATCGCTTGGACAGACTGCAGCCATTCTGGGGAAAGACAGACAGATGGAAACCTCAGTGTGGGCACCACAGACAGCGAACCCCCAGCATAGCCCGTGGCCTCGGCAGCATCCCCCGTGCCAACATCCCACCCCTGGTTCCCATTAAGCTTCTTAACAGCTGGGGGATGTGGCCTCATCCAATGCTGCACTAGCTGGCGAGGTCCTCAGCCCGGGCACGATGCTGCCTGGGATTTATGGCGACGTGTGCATGGACCAGCATGCTGGGGTAAAATGAATCGCAGGGCCACGCGCTTTCTCGGGGAGCATTTATAATAAAACCGGAGCAGAGATATTAGCCCTGATCTGAAGCCCACAGAAATCCAGAGAAAGCCTCTCCCCCAGCTTCATGTCAGGCCCCGGCAGTTCAGCTGTGCTAGAAACACAAAAGCCACGTGCAGCAAGCTGTGAGACATCGAGCTGGCCAAGCTCAGAGGTAAAATAAATACACAGCGAGTTAAAACCACCCTCTGCCCTTGCGGAGTCAAACCTTTTGGAAAGAGCCTTCCCCAGCTGCCAAATGCAGCTGCCTCCTAGAGCAGACCAGTTAAACCAGCCCCTGCGTGAGTCACTGCCCAGCTATTTCCAGGCTTCATGGGTGTGTAACTCCCCGCGTAAAAAAAAAAAAATTAAAGAAAATAAACAAGCAAAATGCTGCTCCATCCCATGAGCTGCCGCAGCTGGACAGAATGAGCCAGCGCCTCACAGCACTGGGATGGGGCCATGCCCACAGATACCTCTGCCTTTCCCTCTCCTTATAAAGTTTGAGATCAAAATGAGTATTTTCAGCCTTCCTTGAGAGGTCTTCAAGTATGCAACATCGATTAATTCACCACGAATCACCACAAAAGCCAGGCAGGACTCGGTACAGGTAAACTGAGGCACAAACCACCCAAGTGAAAGGCAGAAAAATCATGCTTTGGGCTGGATCCTCAGACAGAGGAGAATTAGGCAGCACTGACGTCTCAGTCCCAGTCCCATGTTCCTGCCACAGTTTTACTCCCAGCAGCTTTGCTCCCCCAGCTGCACGCTGCAAGAAATGGCTTTCTGCAGCAAATAGCTGAAACACAGCAAAACTTCCAAATAAAGCTGCACTGCAGCTGAGCAACCTTCAGTACTTGGGGCAGCAAATGAGGCCGTGCAGGACTGCTTGGAGCAGAGTCTACTTCCAGGGAGGCACTCGCGCTTCCTCAACAAACCCTTGCAAGCTGCGCTCACAGAGGCGAGAATGGAATTGGAACTGGGGAGTGAGGTACAGCCTTCAACTGGGACGGCGGCAATGATCCACACCTGAGCCCATGCACCAAATCCATGCCTGCGGGGAACATCCCATGTAATTCGGTAACGTCTGGCACATTTGAACTGTCAGTTCTAGCCCTTCTCTTTGCATCTTGCCTCCTGATGTGCATGCAATGGAGCAAATTCAGGCCCGGCTCAACAAAGCAGACTGAAATCACCCAGACCAGCCTCTGCTCATTGCAGACAGCTTTTTCCTTCCCCTCTGTTTCATCCTTCCCACGCCAAACTACTCTGCAGCATCAACAGGCGCTGCTAAAGAGCTGCTCACCAGGTTCAATGCCACCAGCTATCACTGCTCTCACTTCCAGGAGATCCCAGTGTGGCACGTGAAATGTCCCATATTTTTCAGCTATCTATCTCAGCTGGCCAGGCAGGGAAACCCCCCTGCCTCGACCACACCTGACCCTTCAGCTCTGGCCACGCTAAACCAGCAGGCAACAGAAGGGGTGAAGCAGCTCAAGTGCTGCTAAAAATCAAGTCATAAATCATTGCTCAGATGGGGTTGAAGTATGGTTAGGGGGTGGCCAGCGGCCTGAATTGCCATTTCCTTCCATGCCCCCGCACAGAAAGGGCTCCCATCCCAGGTCTGGGAAGTCGAGCTCTTGACTCACCTTTTCCTGAGCCCTAAAACTGAGTCCAGCTCCGTGCACCAGTGGCGCCAAAGCCTGCCTGGCCCCAAGCCCTGCAGCTTGGTCCAGGACCCAGGAAGCCAAATCTTTTGTGATTTCAAAGGCCATGGGATCCGGCTCAGAGAGGAGCTCTTTCTGCTCAGAGGTGGATGCTCCAACTGCCGGTTATTTTAGGAGAAAGCTGTCTAGACAGAAAGCTGAGCTGAGCTGCCCTTTTAATTGCATCCGCCTCTCCGTGCCTCTTTTTTGGTTCTAAATGTGAGTGATTTATATAGGCTTTTCAAAATTCCTATTGTAATAAAGGGCCGCATCAGAGGCTCTTTATAAATTTAAGGCAGGCATGGAGAGGGGGTTTGGGCAGCCAGCCGTGCTGCACCGCGGCAGCCAGAGAGCAGCACGAGCTTGTGAGCAGGGAAATCCAGAGATGAGCCCGCAGACCGGAGCTCTGCGCCTGCTCCCTTTGCTGATCACTCAGAGACCCACCAGTGCACACTGCTTTATTCCCAGTAACTCCAAGCCCAGCTGCCCACAGCTGTATTAGGCCAGCAAATTGCCTTCAACGCACTTGAAAACACTGCTAGAACTGCAGATAGGATCGCTACCTCCTCCACTCCATATGCTCTTAACTCCTTGGCTATTAGCGCTGTGTCCTACCTATAGGCTTTTAAAACTAAAGCAAGTTTCCTACCAGGAGGTCTGGGCCCTGTAAGTTGTGCTGCGGGGCTGTCAGCGCTCTTTACTCCCAGGCTGTTATTTGTGGTTTCCCCTGGGCAACGAGTCCGTTATTCCATTTTTCTCCGGCATGCCTTCAGCTCAGTGTTTATATCTTTATTCCTCAGGAGGAGGAAGAAAAGGAAACAGAATGGAAAGGGCAGATAACACCCTGCCCGCCGCTTCCGGAGAAGACCCATCGGGAGCGTTTTTAGAGCCCTTTCAGGCAGTCAGAAATGAAGGTGTTTTTAGAAAAACAAATTTGAAAATTCCCCTAAACTTTGCAAGCCCTGATGTGCTCACCCCACCACTTACAACAGCAGGGAAAAGACTTCACCCCTGGGATGCTGAAGACCCCATTTCACTGCCCTGAAGTCTAACATGAAAGAAAGAAACCCAGAACAGAAATTGAAACCTAGAGCAGAAATTGCAGCTGAATTCCCCCGAGAAAGACAGTAGCTAATCCAGCCCCTTCCAGCAAAACCCCAGCCCTGCTCGCAGGGAGGTTTTATGCCCAGACAAGGGGTGCAGCTGAGCAGGAACATGCCCTTGGCCAGGAGCAGAGGGCCTTAAAGGACAGGCATTGGCTCCCCAGGGTTTAATTCACTGCTCTGTCGTAGACACCCTGTCCTCTTTTGACTGAGCCAAGCAGAAGGAATAAAGCGCCAACTGAAAAGAAACTTACTTTATCAATCAGCTCCCAGGCTCCCTGTCAGACATCACTAAATTAGCGCTATGCATTAAAACCACCCACGTGCTGTGACCTGCGGCTGATGGCCAGTGACATTTTGCACATACAGCTTTCCCTTTGCAATCTGCGTATGCACGGTACGCTTAAAACACAAGCGCTTCTCAGGAAACATCCACTAAGGCAGTAACCCTAACATGTCATATATGCAAGACCAGAGGGAGAGGAAATTCATGACCCGATCTGCATGGTAAAACTTGCTCTTTCAATGCTGTAAACGAAATATCAGCAAGGTCGGGAGCAGCACATGCATCTACCGCCACAAAGGGACCAGCCCAGGTCTGCCAGGAAGGGACGTGTTTTCTGAGAAGAGGCTCTCAGGCCTCAAGGTCTGATGAAGAACCTGAACCCAGCTTCCATCCTCGCCTATGAAGCGGACAGGTCATGTCACAAGCGCTGGGGCTTGCAACGGTTTTAAACTTTGATATTCAAACAAACACCCCTGAAGAGGGTTGGAAAAAAAGGGTTAATTGAAGGTGCAGAAATACTAGCTCAATTGCTTCATTCTTCTGGGGCTGAACTTCAGACTGCTGCCCCTTGGCAAATCAGAAAGGCAAAAAAGCTGAGCTCCCTACAATGCTGTTCCTGAGCAGCACAGACCCCCACCACCACCTGCAGCCCCACCGCTCAGAGCGAACATCTCTGCTGTTGAGGAGAACAGTGTCACAGTTCGTCAGACACATCTGCAGCCACTAAGCTCTCCTCAGGGAAAAAACAGCTCCATGACATTGCAGCTTTCTTCTGCTTCGGTCCCAGATGCCCCACCAGCACAAGGTCAAACCTTCCCTGGCCACGCTCTGGGCTGCTGGATGCTCAAGCTGGGAAAGACAGTTTTTTCACCCAACAGTTGCTTCTTTCCTACCCTCCTGTGTCCACTCCCTGGAGAGGACTGCAGGGTGCTGGATTGAGGTATTCCTGGAAATCCCACCAGAAAAGGGGGAATTTAAAGAGCTCCCAAGGTATTTGTAAGGGCCAAGGGATGAGCAGGTAGGAAACTGCAGGGCTGCGGGGAGGCAGTGAATGAACACGGTGCTGCAATTCCTGCCCAAGACTTCCTGGTCCTCTTCTGCAGCTCCCTTCAGTAGCAGATGAAACCCTCAAAGCCCTCTTTTCTCCTCTTGTCTTCCCTTTTTCCTCCTCCTCGAAGCTCCATCCAAGAAGTCCCCAAGGCCAGGAGGTCCACAGCTCTCCAGAGCTGCCACATTCAAACATGAGTGGTTTTCAGAGCAGTCTGTCCTCTGCATCGCTTCAGCCATGAGGCCACAGGAGCCGTCCCATTGGCCGTCGAGGCTCACATCCTGCAGAGACAACCTCTGATGCTGCTGAGGCAGTAGAAAGCTGCTGGCACCATGAAAACCACCTTCCAACAGCTCCACCATGCCTGAGCCAGCTCCTCTGCAAGGCCCTCAGTGTGGTGGCTCTGACCTCCCTTCAGCTTGTGCGAGAGCATGCTGAGGTGGTCGATACATCATTTCAGGTCCTCCAAAGGGCTTAGGTACCAACTCCTGCTTATTTCAAGTCCAGGCACCAAAAGCAGGGATGCGGAACGGAGATGCCCTGACACACAGGCACGCTGCTGGGGTACGCCCAGCCTGGGGCCAC